ATTTAACACTTACTTTTTTAGAAATAAAATACTGATGCCCTTATTATTCCATACTACTGGATGATTTAGGTTGATTTTTATAGCTATAGTACTACATACATATAGAAATATACATAATGGAATAACTGCATGAAGTTTAGGCAGACCTCCCTAATATTTCTGCTTAATCTTATTGAACGTTTTACAGCTCGAGTTGGGAAACCTGCACTTATTTTCAGTGTTCCACATTTTTGTTGGCTTTCAACCAAGCCACTGTTCCACCTACTGGTGACAATCACTGGTGGTTGGAACTCAATCAAAAAGGGCTCAATTTGAAGCCAACAAAAATGTGGAACCTTGAAAAGAAGGTGCCATATATGCGGGGCCCCTCATGTATAACCATCTCATGATAAGTGGACAAAGATCAAACCATAAGCATCCAGTGTGCTGAATGATCCACATGGGTTTAGCACTTCATATGAACATCACAACACAGATTTTAATTTTCTGGTAGGCTGTTTCCATTTTTTGGACCTCTTTTTTTTTATGTATAAGAAATTTCTACATAGATTCAGCCTATACAAGTAGAATATCAGAATTATTTACTTCTCAAGTGGTGTCCATGGGTTCTGCTACAGCCCTCTAGAGAGAATTTTAAGTCTTAATGCAACCATTCATGGCCCCAAAGCTGTACAATGAAAAGAGGGACTGGATACAGTTGGTAGGTTTCAAGATCTGAATATTCAGCGTATGTGTTGTTTAAAAAGAGAGTTTATTATTACTGTAAAGTATATAACAGTAATGGTTGGTTTTAACTGTGAAAAGATTGCTTTACTACTGCTGTAAAGTGTAACTGCAATGGTTAGCTTTTGCTGTGAAAAAACTGGTTTACTGTTGCTGTAAAGTGTACAACTGATGGTTGGCTTTTTGCTGTGAAAAGATTGGTTTACTACTGTTGTAAAGTGTATAACTGATGACTGGCTTTTGCTGTGAAAAGAGTGTTTATGACAGATTATTGTTGATGACTTCGCACCTGTTGGAGCTGCAGACACTTTAGATACTTCCACCATACAGTAAGTCTTTTACAGGGCACAATGATGCTGGGTCAAATCTTTGTTAATAGTGATTTTACTCTTACATACTGTGTATGTGTATAACACAATCTGTATATAGTAGACCCTCATATTCCACGGATTTATTTGGCACGTTTTGGTTATTACACTATTGGAAAATTGCAGCATAATTTTATACAACACTTTGTAAAATTTACTTAACACGGTTCGATTTGCGGGGAGAGGAAAATATTTGGAGCGTCGCCCGCAGGATATTTCCCTAGCTCAGGCCGCCGCCTGGCTGTGGGTGAAACCACTGTCTCTGCGGGGCTGCAAAGGATCACTTCACCTTGCTTCTTTGTGGTAATACATCAGGTGATTTCAAATGTAAGCCCATGGCTATTTACTGCTCTAAGAATCCTTGTGCTTTGAAAGGTGTACATAAAAACATCTTACCAGTAATTTGGAGGTCAAACCAGTCAGCATGGATGACAGAGGAAATATTTATTGACTGGTTTAATCATCACTTTATTCTTGAAGTCAAGTTTTACCTGCACATCAAGAACCTTGCATTCAAGGTCCTCTTCATTCTTGATAATTCCCATACTCATCCAGAAGCTTTGTTAGATGTGGCCCCACATGTAAAAGTTGTATTTTTACCTCCAAACACATCTTTAATACAACCACTGGATTGGGGAGTTATTAAATCATTCAAGTGTAACTACACAAGTGATTAAAAAACTAGTTGCATCAATGGACTCTGACTCCAACCTGTCAGTACCAAGCTTCTGGAATAATGTATAATGTACCGCAGTGTAAAAGAACCCAGAGATCCATTACAGAATTTATGCGCACTCCAATATAATCAATGACTTTAGTACCAGAACCTCAAGCATCCACTTCTGCTGACAACCAACAACCATCCACCTCAGCCCAGTAGGGCCACACCATGCATCTCCACTCTCTTCACTATCAATGACATACACCAGCAACCACAATTTAAGGTAAATAATATTATTTCTGTTGCATCTGTAGTCTTAAGCAACAAAAACAACATTATCATTTTTATTTTTGTAAGATCTGGATGTCTAAAAAAAATTGTTTGACTTTTGGGGGGTCCCTGGAATGTAACCCTATTTTTCCCATAAGTTCTTCAGTTTATTTAACAAGGATTTATATCTAACATGGCATTTTCAGGAACATAACTACCATGTAACATGAGGGTCGACTGTATATAAAGAAACATCTCTACCTTACCAAGATGATTCTTTGCATACAATTTTTACTTTTTCTGCAGATTACATTGCATATATCTTTGAAAAGCCTGCATATCAAGGGTAAGAATGAAATGAATGAAATGTTTCTTTATACATTTGTTAGTTTCTATGGATAACTTTTTTATTTAATAATAATAATAATAATAATAATAATAATAATATATAAGTACAATGCCTGCACTTTAAAGGAGGGGTTTGGGATATAGCTGCTTGGAGTAACATCTAAACTGTCACATCTGAGCACCTCTGCAAAGACTGATCATGTGTCAGTGATGATGAAAGTGTTGAATAATGAATGTTTATTCTTTCCTCTTGGGTCACCTTGTCAGCCATTTTCCACCAAGGCAGGGCAACCCAAAAAGAAACAAAAACCCAAAAAGAAAGGAAAAAAATTCCATCATTGTTCAACACTTTCACCATAATTCATACATAATCACTGTCTTTGCAGAGTTGCTCAAATACGACAGTTTAGATATCCCTCCAAACAGCCAATATCCCAAACCCCTTCTTTAACCCTTTCAGGGTTTCGGACGTACTAGTACGGCTTACGCACCAGGGTTTTTTGACGTACTAGTACGCCTAAATTCTAGCGCCCTCAAATCTAGTGAGAGAAAGCTGGTAGGCTACATATGAAAGAATGGGTTTATGGGGTCAGTGTGCGCAGTAAAAAAAAATCCTGCAGTACACAGTGCGTAATGAGAAAAAAAAAACTTTGACCGTGTTTTTGGATTAAAACAGCGACTTTGCACTGTATTTTCGTATGGTATTTATTGTTGTATTCTAGTTTTCCTGGTCTCATTTTATAGAATGGAAGACATATTACAGAAATTGAGATGATTTTGACTGGTTTTACAATGAAAAGTACCTTGAAATTGAGCTCAAAGTAGCAGAAATGTTAGATTTTTACCAAAGTTCAAAAGTAAACAAATCATGCTAAGCATCCAATACATGTCAACTGGTGAGTCTAATATTCTTTCATAAGTGCGCTGATATTATTTATACCATTTCTACACTAATGCATTAGTCTGCATAACAGTAAATCTTCTATTTTTGTGAGAATAAAAATTCAAAGTGGAAAGCAAAAGAATGTAAGAGGGGTGTGGGGACATGACTAATGAACAGAGAAAATGTTATTTTAGTGCCAGGAATGTCTTTCTTGTTTATTCTGGACCCTATTTGGAAATTGGCATCTTTTGAAATTTGTGTGAAATTGGCAAAACTGCTAAATTCTGACCACTGTATTGGATAGTTGGAATTGGTAAATGGGTGGTTTCTTGTACTCATTCGATAGAAAAAATGGAGTTCTAGCGAAATAGTTATGATTTTTGTCGACCAGTACATTGGAATTGGCCGAAAATAGGGCTCAAATTGGGCAAAATCGCCGATGCGTAAACATCAAGACCGCTAACTTCGCGAGAGCATAATTCCATAAGTTTTCCATCAAATTTCATACTTTTGGTGTCATTATGATCGGAAAAAGATTCTCTATCTTTTCATAAGATTTTTTTTTTTTTTTTTTTTTTTTTTTTTTGAAATTTGGAGGACCCTTAGAACAGATCTCTGAGAGGGCCTGTGGACCCTGAAAGGGTTAAAGTGCAGGCATTGTACTTCCCACCTCCAGCACTCAAGTCTGGCAAGTCTACCTAACCAGTTTCCCTGAATCCCTTCACAAAATATTCCCCTGCTCACACTCCAACTGCTCATCATGTCCCAAAAACCAATCATCTCCATTCACTCCCATTCAACACACTCACACATGCCCGCTGCATATCCAAGCCCCTTGCACACAAAACCTCTTCCACCCACCCCTCTCTCCATCCCTTCCTAGGATGACCCCTACCCCCTCCTCCCTTCCACTACAGATTTATATGTCCTCCAAGTCATCCTATTTTGCTCCATGCTCTCTAAATGACCAAACCATCTCAACCCCCCTCTTCAGCAACTCCACACCTCCTCCTAATTTCCACACTATGAATTCTCTGCATAATATTTACACCACACATTACCCTTATACTTGACATCTCCACTGCCTCCAGCTTTCTTGCTGCAGCATCCACAACCCAGGCTTCACACCCATACAAGAGTGCTGGTACCACTACACTCGTATATTATCTTCTTTGCCTCCATGGACAATGTTTCTTGTCTCCACAGACACCCCCAAGCACCACTTGCCCTCTTTCCTTCATCAACTCTATGGCCAACCTTGTTCTTCACAAACCCATTTGCTGATAAGTTTGCTCCCAAATATCTGAACACACTCACCCCTTCCACACTCCCTCCCTCCAATGCTACATCCAACCTTTCTTTACCTAACTCATTGGACACCCCACTCTCATCCACGTTCACCATGTTCATGTTCACCAAGGCAGGGTGACCCAAAAAGGAAGCATTTTCACCATCATTCACACTATCACTGCCTTGCCAGAGGCATGCAGATACAACAGTTTAGATATTCCTCTAAACAGCAAATATCCCAAACCTCCCCTTTCCCACCAAGGAAGGGTGACTCAAAAAAGCATAAACACTTTCAATCTATCACTGTCATGCTCAGATGGTCCTCCAAACTGCCATATCTCCACTTCTCCTTCAGAGAGCAGCCACTGTACTACCTTCTCCAGGACTCAAGTCCAGCTGACTGATTTCCCCTGAATCCCTTTGTTAATGTTACCTTATTTATTTTCATTTAACTTACCAGGTATAGGCACCTCAGGAATCTACATTGAAGATTTCCTTGTGGAGATCGGAAAATTGGAGATGTTGTGCAGCACGTTTGAACTTACTCAGGGCTTCCTCGTGTAACATGCTCAATTCCCTGTTAGCAAAAGCACAAAACATTTCATTAAAACACATACATAGATACAATTTTAATGTTTTTGTATACGAAGAAAAAATCATCCACAAATACCTTATATTGCATTGTACATTAATAGTGATGCTGCTGATGATCACTACACTGTTTGCCACCTTTCATGGGATGGGGATGCATTTACTAGGAAAAGATGGAGAAATATTACACGAAAAAAGAGTTAAAGACATTCAGAGTGACAACTGAATTTGCACTCAAGTACCATACCACCATGGGCAACTACTACCAAAGTGTACCATACCACCATGGACAACTACTACCAAAGTGTACCATACCACCATGGGCAACTACTACCAAAGTATTTTATCCAGTGGTATATTACCAACCATTCTGGAAAAGTACCCTGACTTTGCCCATTGTAAATAATGCATTACCACCTAAACTATTTTTTTTTCCGTGTGTGACCTAATTCACATCCGCATAAATAACTCGTTACGACTGTAACCAGATATAAACATGCAAATAGTTCATTACCACTGTAACTTGTTCAGGTATCAAAACTTTGTGGCCCAGTCCCTGGACCTTTTATGTGCCTCTGTAATCTTTTGACTACCGCCACAGGATGAGTATGGGGTGCATAATAAAGATATTACACTAAACTCATTATTGCTTTACACTTTTTTTTTTTTTTTTTTTATCACACTGGCCGATTCCCACCAAGGCAGGGTGGCCCGAAAAAGAAAAACTTTCACCATCATTCACTCCATCACTGTCTTGCCAGAAGGGTGCTTTACACTACAGTTTTTCAACTGCAACATTAACACCCCTCCTTCAGAGTGCAGGCACTGTACTTCCCATCTCTAGGACTCAAGTCCGGCCTGCCGGTTTCCCTGAACCCCTTCATAAATGTTACTTTGCTCACACTCCAACAGCACGTCAAGTATTAAAAACCATTTGTCTCCATTCACTCCTATCAAACACGCTCACGCATGCCTGCTGGAAGTCCAAGCCCCTCACACACAAAACCTCCTTTACCCCCTCCCTCCAACCTTTCCTAGGCCGACCCCTACCCCGCCTTCCTTCCACTACAGACTGATACACTCTTGAAGTCATTCTGTTTCGCTCCATTCTCTCTACATGTCCGAACCACCTCAACAACCCTTCCTCAGCCCTCTGGACAACAGTTTTGGTAATCCCGCACCTCCTCCTAACTTCCAAACTACGAATTCTCTGCATTATATTCACACCACACATTGCCCTCAGACATGACATCTCCACTGCCTCCAGCCTTCTTCTCGCTGCAACATTCATCACCCATGCTTCACACCCATATAAGAGCGTTGGTAAAACTATACTCTCATACATTCCCCTCTTTGCCTCCAAGGACAAAGTTCTTTGTCTCCACAGACTCCTAAGTGCACCACTCACTCTTTTCCCCTCATCAATTCTATGATTCACCTCATCTTTCACAGACCCATCCGCTGACACGTCCACTCCCAAATATCTGAATACATTCACCTCCTCCATACTCTCTCCCTCCAATCTGATATTCAATCTTTCATCACCTAATCTTTTTGTTATCCTCATAACCTTACTCTTTCCTGTATTCACCTTTAATTTTCTTCTTTTGCACACCCTACCAAATTCATCCACCAATCTCTGCAACTTCTCTTCAGAATCTCCCAAGAGCACAGTGTCATCAGCAAAGAGCAGCTGTGACAACTCCCACTTTGTGTGTGATTCTTTATCTGTTAACTCCACGCCTCTTGCCAAGACCCTCGCATTTACTTCTCTTACAACCCCATCTATAAATATATTAAACAACCACGGTGACATCACACATCCTTGTCTAAGGCCTACTTTTACTGGGAAATAATTTCCCTCTTTCCTACATATTCTAACTTGAGCCTCACTATCCTCATAAAAACTCTTCACTGCTTTCAGTAACCTACCTCCTACACCATACACTTATTATCTTTGATATATCTGATGACCACTAACATTGCAAAGAATGACAAGCAATTTATTCAAGAGCTTTTAGCATGATCATATCAATTATTTATTACATATTTGTATTCATTTACAATATGGATTTTATATACAAGAAGTTTTATATTGGGTAATGACCTAAGAAGCACCTTACACAGTGTTTTGGGAATGACTTTAGCTGAAAATCCAATTTAAGTACAGCAAAACCATTAATGTATATATCATTATACTATAGTATACTGAAAAAATATTTTATAATATGCATAATACTGTATAGAGTTAAGATATTAAGCTATGACCAACTGATAAATTAATTATAAATATGGTATTGTATATAAGAAATAAATTTGTAGTACATATGCAAAATTATAAAGAAAATTATTGCCTTAATGCAAGTGAATGGTTCTTGATCCAATGTATTAGAGCTGCCCTCCCCTTCTTTGGATCAACCCTGATTACTTATCCTTCCCATGCACTATATGGCCCCTACAGATTCACCATGTCCCCATGATTACAAGAATAAAAATGATACACAACTGTATATAGAAATTTTTACAATAGTAAAATTAACAAATAGAAAAAAGTTTTGTAACTTTTATCACTTTTGTAACTAGAATTTATACTATTTAAGTAAGAAGAGATGAAACTGAGTTATAGTAGTATTTAACCCCTTGACTGTCGCAACTCCCAATCCTGAGGTGTCTCCTGGTGTTGCAAAATTAAAAAAAAAAAAAAAAAAAATTATTTTTTCTTATGAAATGATAGAGAATCTTTTCCCGATTGTAATGCCACCAAAAAAAACGAAATTTGATGGAAAACTGATGGAATTACGCTCTCGCGAAGTTAGCGACCTCGGCGATATTTACAAATCGGCAATTTCGCCCACTTTGAGCCCTATTTTCGGCTAATTCCATTGTTCCAGTCAACCAAACCCATAGCTATTTCTTTAGAACTCCGTTTTTTCTATCGATTGAGTACAAGAAACAGCCCATTTACCAATTTCAACTACCCAATAACGTGGTCAGAAATTTGCAATTTGGCCAATTTCACGAAAATTAAAAATATGACAATTTCAAAATAAGGTCCAGAATGAACAATGCAGACATTCCTGGCTCTAAAATAACATTTTCTTTGTTCATCAGTCATGTCTCCAGGCCCCTCTGATATTACTCTTGCTTTCTATTTTGAATTTTTATTCAAACAAAAAATAGAAGATTTACTATTATGCAGACTACTGCAATACTGTAATAATTGTAAAAATAACATCAACCCATTCATGACTGCATATCAGAATGGCTAGTTGGACATTTATTGGACAATGACATCATTTGTTTACTTTTGAACATTGGCAAAAATCAAACATTTACCCTACTTTGAGCTCCATTTCCAGGTTCCTTTTATAGTAAAATCAATCAAAATCACCTCTATTTCTATGTTTTCCATTCTACCAAATGAGACCAAGAAAACGAGAATACAACCATAAATACTATACGAAAATAGACCACAAATTCGGCATTTTAATTTAAAAAAAAACGGACAGTTTTTTTTTTCTCATTATGCACTGCGTGCTCCAGGATTTTTTTTTATATGGTGCACACTGACCACACAGACCCATTCTCTCACATGTGGGCCTACCAGCATTCTCCTTCTTGATTTGAAGCCACTAGAATTTATGAGTATATATACGTCAAACACGGTACCTTGTAAGACGTAGATATACGGCCGCGACAGTCAAAGGGTTAATTAACCCGTAAATGGTCCAAACGTATATTTACGTTTTTTCAACATTTGAAAGTGTATGTAAAAAAAGTAGATCTTCTTTTTGTTCTTTTACATTTGAAAATGTGTAAAAAAACTTTGATCTACTTTTTTTCTTTGTTATATTTGAAAATATGTAAAAAAAAGATCTACTTTTGTAGCACTACACATGTGAACGTAGATCTGCTTGGACCGTTTACGGGTTAATAAGCATTTTAGGTTCGGTTTACAATGAGCTCGATGCTATCCATAAGTAACATGTCTAGACACTTGGTGCAGAGGAATTTGATAAGTTTATAAAGTCAGTTCCCTATCAACCAAGCTGTAAAGCACACACTGGACTGCATGTGACTAGCACCAACAGCCTAGTTGATCAGGTCATTGACATTTCGCCCACAGTATAATCTGTCATGTCATACAAGAAGTAAAGCAGCAAGACATAAAAATGTAAACAAGTGGGGAAATGAGGTTAGTCGATGCTTTGACAATACTACATGAAGGTCTCTATGATTATAGAACCAAAACAATGTCTTCGAGCCTTTTGGTCTTCCTTACTGATGACTTATACACGTGTCCAGCATATTAGGTGTGCATGTCGCCACAACCATTGTTCCCACTATATTTTACATTTTTTTATTATTATTATTATCACACTGGCCGATTCCCACCAAGGCAGGGTGGCCCGAAAAAGAAAAACTTTCACCATCATTCACTCCATCACTGTCTTGCCAGAAGGGTGCTTTACACTACAGTTTTTAAACTGCAACATTAACACCTCTCCTTCAGAGTGCAGGCACTGTACTTCCCATCTCCAGGACTCAAGTCCGGCCTGCCGGTTTTCCTGAATCCCTTCATAAATGTTACTTTGCTCACACTCCAACAGCACATCAAGTACTAATGTTTTACATGCATACTTATATTCAAGGATTCTGGTGTGTAGGCTGTGTGATGTTTCAGCAATGGAGAGTTTGTCGCACTCTTTGCATGGGATCTTGTATACACTTGCCACTGTATTGTGATGGTGGTGGTTGGTATGTGGTTTGATCAGTTCACATATGATTTAGATGTTATGACTGCCATGTTGGTGCCTCTTAGTTTGAGAATCTGGGTAATGCTCTTAGATATGTTACCAGTAGGTAAAATAATTTGTTTTTTGTTAGTGTTCTCGCTAATGTTGTTGAGTATCCGTTACACTTTACATCTGCAACCTAAAAAGATGTGAATATGTTGGTAATTAAACAGTCTTCAAGCATTAGGATTAGTTTTCCCAAAATGCAGTGTATACTAGTGGCTTTCTTTTGTGCCTATCAATGTTTTATTACGTGTAAACTAGAGTGGAACCTCAGTATTCGAAGTTAATTCGTTCCGGAAGGCTGTTTGAGTGCTGATCTGTTCAAGTACTGAATAAATTTTTCCCAACCAATTTTCTTTTTGGTTGGCTGTTATCACTAATCTTTGGTGACTTATTTATACAAATATAAAAAAAAAAAGCCAAAAAATGTGAAAAAAAACAGGAAATAATTTACAGCAAAGTTCTGGCAGGTCGTGTTTGTTTGGTTAAGTGCCAAGTAAACGGTCGACTAACGAGTGATTTTTTTTTTACTAAACAAAGCATTCGAATACGGAGCTGTTCGAGTAACAAGGTTCCACCATACATTATTTTGTATCATACAAAGAAATAAAATTGTATTTGTATGGTGCAACACCTGCCTTCAAGAAACTCATCTTGTATGGGAAGACCCAACAAGTGACTTCAACATCCACTCATATCTTAGAGATGATCCCAGCTTCCATTCAGATCACTACAACAGATAACATCTGACTATATGTCTCCACATATTGCACTGTACATACAGTATATTATCTTGCAACCTTACTCCTTGTATTGTCTTTCTACCATACTTGTTGGCAATATCTACCATACAGCACAACATATTCCCTGTTGTTCAAATGAAACTAAAAAGTTTAGAGTTCCGATTTAACTGGTGTGACAGGATTAATTTTTAAATTTATTAGCAATACAATTATTCAAAACAGAATGCATAGTATGGGCCTCACAAGACATATAATGTCTAATTCCTCTGTATTTATTCCTAATCCAGCATACTTTAGTATGTACTTTAATGTAAAAGACCTCAATTCTATTTAAGGAAATACAATACTGTACTCTGATTTGTTACATGGAGTTTTATATTGTGCTTCTCAAGAATGACTTAAAATTTACTGAGCATTATACAAACTTTCAAGGTGATAGACAAGGTGCTTCATTTTCTGAGTCCCTTTACTTACACAGGGTTCCTTAATAAATAGGTTAAGTCAAACATAAGGCATGTCAGATACCTGTGCATATATGGCTTGTGTCTTATTCACTAGACATGTTGCAGCCTTCTAAATACAGTCTTAGGTACTGTATCTTCTCAAATTTACTCTTGTATGCCACTCCCTGATCTGTCCCTACCTTATTTAGGGAAGGTGCCCAGAGCATAGCCCATGGCCAGGCTCTGGGAGTAGAAAGACTTTCGAAACTTATCAAAGGTATAGTATAGAATTTCACAAAGTAAAATAGAGTAAATATGAATCGAGATATTTGCTATCTCTAGTGATGCATATAGGAGCAGTGTGTACTGTCTGAATATGGAGATCCCACTACTAAATTTTTTACTGTGTAATGAATAGTAATAGTTACTAGTTTTAACACCATCTCCTGTATAAATTACTAAATTTAAAAAGAATTTTTTTTTCTTTTTAGGTCACCCTGCCTTAGTGGGATGCAGCTGGTTTGTTGAAAAAAAAAAAAGTTACTGGTTTATTATTCCCAAGCATCTTCTCTAAATAAGGTAAATAGATCAGGGAGTGGTATACAGGCTCAGGAAATTATGTTCCTGTTAGTTTTTTATTTGATTTTTATTTATTACATGGTCAATTTGGAAGGATGTTGTTAGTAAATATGAATCTCTAGTAGTGGGTTTCAATATTCAGGGTCAATTGTTGGTAAATATTCTTGTATGAATTTGCTTAAGCTGTTCAATGACTAAGTACAGAAAGTCAGTTTCTTGAAGTCTGAGCATAAGGTTTTATATATGGGAGGTAAAACTTTCCAAAGAAGATAATATTTGGAGTAGGATTTTCAAGATTTTCTATGCAGCTGTAACTGTCTTTATCCATGCCACTGGCACTAGACATTCACTTCAAATGGCAGTTCCACAACAGCAAATTAAATATATATGGAAATCTTTAAATGATTGCATATTAACAAAGATATAAACCCGGTCTTTGCTGAAAAGGATAAGTCATTGCTAACAGCAGTTTCCTATACCGTATTACAGAATCCTATCTTACCTAAGGGCAGGCATCTTGGCCAACAGGAAGGCATAGACAGTGATATCCCCTTTGACTGGAAACCTGTGTGTCTTGTCCAGCTCCAAGCACAACGATCGCCCTACAGCTTCATTTAGCTTCGCAATCTCTTCAGTACCCCGGAGACCTGGCCGATCTACGAGAAAAAAACAAAAAAGGTATCCTGTCTGAGCAAAGGCAATCATGTTAAAGAAGCTAGAAGAAAGACCTGAATGGTTACTGGCTTGTCTACTATTTCCTGATTTGAGATAGAGACAAATGAAGATAAATATAGAAAATGAAGAAGATTTATGAGAAGCAAGCAAAAAATTAATACACACACACACACACACTTAACAGTATTCGACTCAATGACTAGCAGTGTCATCTTGACTGAGACAGTTATGCTTGCTTGTTTCTCAGCAATGATTATGGCTGGCAACACAAAATAACATGCATTTCTTCAGAATAAATGCAATTTTTGGACATACAGTATGATTCAAAAAATCCGAAATACTACATCCGAGACCTCGGTGTTTCTAAGTCTGGATTGTTTTAAATGCTATATTCAAAGTCAGAAAATAATAATAATATTGTCAAAAACTAATAGGCTTGGAAAGTTTTATTTTTCACTATAACCATCTTCATAGTGTGTGCATGCAGTATAACAATATCTTTCTGGACCACTAAGCCATGTGTAATTTATACACACAATATAGTATTGTACTGTATATATTTTTTAACATGTTGGCCCCCTCCCACTGAGGCAATGTGACCTGAAAAAGAATCACTATCGTTTACACTATACAGCCTCTCCTCACTTAGCGATGCACTCATTTACCAAAGAATTGGACTTACGACAGGCTCTCTGACCAGTTTGCATACCTAAATAATGTATATTAGAGCTGGTTTCCTCTATTCTGTTTATTACAATATACAGTACACTACTGTATAAACATTAAAAAATATACTAAAAATTTTATAAATGGTGCAAATGTGACATTAAAACAATATCAAAGATGATTGACACAAACCCACTATCATTATAGTATGCTCCTTGCTTAGCAACAAATTCGTTTACCGAAGAGGTCTTAGGAATGGAACTCCATCGTTAAGTGAGGAGAGGGTGTATATGCTGCACAATCTCTTGGTGCATACTTTCAACACCTGGTTCAGAAACTATTCCTGGGAGCATAGGTCCATAAAAAAGTTCTTTTAATGTTGGAAATTGTGTTAAAAATCAAGATTTTTGTTTATCTGAATTATCCAAACAGTGAAATTTAGGGCCAATTTCAGTTTCCTGAAGTTTGTAGATTTTCCGAGTTCGGATTTTCAGTCATACTGTGCATATACAGGGCTTTCAATAATAACACTTAACAAATACCTATCATTTACAATAACATTCAATATATCAGGATTATGCTCATTCTAGAAAGAAATGAGAGATATGCTCTTTAGTTAACTTATTTTAATCAGAATGACTGGAATAATGAACAATAAAATGTTGGAAATTACTACTTAAAAAACATGCAAAAAATGAGGGCATAAAAAAACTGCCTCTCTATCAAGGTTCCTTCAGACCTCCACATTTTTGTATTTGTTTATTGAAAGCTCTGCATAAGAAATACTAAACAATGAACTAAGCCAGTTACCATAGCAGGACTTCCTGGTAATATACACACAGGCTAGTACTGTAATTTTAATCATTCTTATATTATCAGCCAATAGAAGAATTAGTTCTAATGAAATAAATGTGGAATTATGTGACTTAACAAATTCTGATTTGGTATTCACTTTGGATGGGTACAGGTTAGATCAAGCAATACCCTCTAAGCCTGAGTGTATCTCTCTTATGTCTTCCAAGAAACACTCCTTACACAGACACTCCAAGAGATGAGATGATGCTTAAAATCTGGCACAAATAAAGAGAGTCAGGTTCCCAATGCTAAGCTAAGATATTCTTGAGGCCAAAGCAACTTTATAATGCAAGATATTTTTAAAAATCAGATTTGTTAATTCTTACTAACTTCAACTTAGGTAATGCATGTCACACAAATGTCTACTCTAATGATAATTAAAAAAAGTTAAAAGAAAATCATTAACATAATGAAAGCATCAAGGCAGCTTGGTGCAGATCTGCAGCATGCTGAGGCACCAACAATCACCAAACACAAGAGTGATCTACAAAACAAATTATAGCACAGTACTAGAATTGTATTAACTATATGTATTTGTTAAACAAAATTATTTTGCTACCACTAAAAAATGTGATTTTTTTTATCATTTATTTGCAGATCTATTGAATCTGACCACATCATGGTGATTTGAAGGTGATGCCTATTGTGAATTAACGTCATACATGTCACACAAGGCTCTGGGCAGTTAGTAAAAAAAAACACTGCTTACAGTAAGTTATGTTGAAGCATCTCTTAGAGAAAGAAAAAAAAAAGAAAGGAAATCAAAGACACCATACAACAAATACAATTAATCCTCTAGTCTGTGTGTCAAAGTCGCTATTCTCTCATGTCAAGCAGAGAAATCGTGACCTACAAAAGCAATTTACACTAATATTTGAATTTAACACAAAAATCACAAACACATATATGCAAATTTAACTTTAGTATTGCATCATAAATGATCTAATCTCATAGGTCCTGTGTATAATTAGTCATTTCTTAAAAAAAAAAAAAAAAAATGGCAAGAGAACTGTTGAAATATTGAAAAATACTTTGACCTAAATTAAATTTTCATAAGGAAAAAAATCTGCCACAAATGCAGTATTCATAAAATTCTTAATGAGTGAACATAATACATTTTCCGAGTACTGAATAAACACCAGTGACTAATTACTCTGGTGTTTCATGTATTATCAAGGATAAGTTCAGAAGTTAATTTCTTTAGTTTCAAAGGTCTGTTGACTATGCTAATATTAATTAAGCATGTTACGATTTAACATTTCAGAAATTACTGGTACATACTATATATGTTTTTTTGTTTTTTTTGAGAATATAATAATAATAATAATAATGGCATTACAGTACTGTATATATGAGTGTGCCTCAGGGCAGTTTACTTCTTTCAATAAAATCACTTCATGTTCTGCTCCTCCTTTGTAGTATAGCAAACACTCGAGTCATGATCATTACCTCCATAACTTTCATAGCAATTGTGAGACTTGGATAATATTTTCCTAAAAGATGAAAAGGAATTATTACTGTAGTGAACTGTGTACCATTTGTAATAGATTAATCGTGTTGAACATACAGAAAGTCAAAGTATTTATAATCAATACTTCTTATAATGTTACAGAAGAGAATAAATCAAGATGACAAAATAAGTGCTAGTGCTTTATGTGCCAGACTGTTAATACAAACAGCAATCAGAGGACAAAACTAAGACAGTATGTCCAAAAGCAATGACAGTTTGATCAAGCTCTAAAGCCAGTTTTTTGTAGTCATAAAACATGTATCAGTCAATCATTGTCATTACTTTGGTTAATTATATTAACATTCTAAGAAATAACAATGAATGACATGACGCAATGACTGGTTTAGGAGAGATGGACACATGAAAGTATATACAGTGAGCAAAACTGCTTCATCATCAAGCGGCAGCAACAGTGGACCTCAAGATCGTATTTCAACCCTGACTCTCTAGAGAAACTCTCAACAGAACTTCCAGCTCTTTGAGTCACGAGTCTGTCATGTCAGAGTAAGAGGGACAGGTGCAGACAGGGAAAAATGTAACAGTGGATCTAAAAAGAATTCAGTACTGAGGTCTAAATCTGAAGGTTACTTTAAGTATACTGTACTATACTGTACTGGTGAAAACGGATACATGAAATTTACTAATTTTAGTATATACGTATATGCATTTCCTGGAGGGTGCATGTATTTATTAGCACACATGTATGTGTATGCATATGTATGTGATTGCTGTTACTGTATGGTTTCCTATTTGTAATTTCTTGAGCTTGCAGAAGTGAGCTCCAGCTCTTGGTCCTGCCTCTTTATTTTCAACCACCTGATGTGATTAAGGCCCATCATATCTAACTCTAAAGCTCTGTATGGAGTCTGCTTCCACTGTGTCATTGTTTTTCTAGTGGTGAGATGGTGCATAAGAGTGAGTGATAGGCAACAATAACACAGTGGTTTGGGAGACCAGCATATAATGGTGACTCCTGCCAGTTAACAAATGGGAACAATCCAGGATAGTGAGATGTGGGTGTATGTCGGAATGCATGCACATACAGTATATGTAGGCATGCTTGTGTGTATTTGTCTGTAGGTATGTGTTTTCATATACTGTTTGTACATAAACTCATCTGTGTATATAGCAAATGAGCCTTTGTTGTAATTAATAGGAATCAAGACCAGTATTTTAAATATGTCAATGAATTTGAGCCTTATGTGAGGATTGTGTATGTACGTAATCTACTAACTTATTTGCTGATCTATAATCATCTACTTGTAGCAAATAGCAAAGCTATTCTCATAGAGTTCCATCTGGTATTTAGTTTATCTAATTTAGTTTATCTAATGACTCATTCTAGTAGTGTACCAATGTATTTATGAATAAATATTTCTATTAATCATTAGGCACCACTTTTTGAAACACAATGGCCATAACCCACTGAGGTAAGGTGATCCTAAAAATTTTTTTATAATTGTGGGCGAGGGGCTTGGACTTCCAGCAGGCGTGCATGAGCGTGTTCGATAGGAGTGAATGGAGACGAATAGTATTTGGGACCTGACGATCTGTTGGAGTGTGAGCAGGGTAATATTTAGTGAAGGGATTCAGGGAAACCGGTTATTTTTATATAGCCGGACTTGAGTCCTGGAAATGGGAAGTACAATGCCTGCACTCTAAAGGAGGGGTTTTGGGATATTAGCAGTTTGGAGGGATATGTTGTGTATCTTTATACGTATATGCTTCTAAAATGTTGTGTCCTGAGCACCTCTGCAAAAGCAGTGATTATGTGTGCGTGAGGTGAAAGTGTTGAATGATGATGAAAGTATTTTCTTTTTGGGGATTTTTTTTCTTTTTGGGTCACCCTGCCTCGGTGGGAGACAACCGACTTGTTGAAAAAAAAAAAAAAATTGTGGTCAATTGTACTTTTTGATAATGTTAAGAAATATTTATTTACTTGTGACATTTTATTTTTTATATAGGACTATGTGTATCATCTTTACCTACATGTTTTTGAGAGTACTGAACTTCAGTTCTTAGGTTCTACATCTTAGCCTTTATTTAACTGGTATGGTTCTTCACTAACCCCTCTGGTTTTACCATAGCTATTTTTGAAACCATATATCAAATCTATATCTACTACTTGGCTTCTAACACATTCCACATCTTTAGTGTAGTAATTTTACACTGAAAAAAAGTGTTTTCCAATGTCCATATGGCTCACCTATGTAGCTTCTAGTTGTATCCATCATCATAATTTCCTCCTATATCAGTCTTCCTGTCTACCCTTTCTCTATCAATACAGCCTCTCCTCACTTAGCAACATACTCATTTACTGATGCCTCGGACTTATGACAGCTCTCTGACCAGTATTCATACTTTAATAATGTATATTAAGAGTTGATTTCCTCTATTCTGTTAATTTCAATATACATGTATAGTACACTACTGTATAAACATTTAAAAATATACCAGAAATGTTATAAATGGTGCAAAAGTGACATTTAAACAATATCAAAGATGGTTGATACAAACTTACTACCATTATAGTATGCTCCTCACTTAGTGATGAATTTGTTTAATGATGTGGTCTCAGGAATGGAACTCTGTCGTTAAGTGAGGAGAGGCTGTACTTTGTACCACAAACATATCTGCTCTACTATGCTTTCACTGTAGATCGTGTTTTTTATCCTTACAACCTATCTAGTAGCAAACCTCTGTACTGTCCTGTTATATGAAACAAAAATGATTGTTGAACATGTTGCACTCTGGTAGGTTTGCTGGTCTTTTATTTTCTCTTTCTTGAATGTGTAAAACAGCAAGTAAATCTGAAAACTTAGACTTGTTCTGTATACACTTATCTTTACTTCCTGTATCTTTCTTAATAGCTCTAATTCCTGTAAAATTCCTTTCCAATCGAGTATGCCTGATTCGAGACTGGGCTTTGTGAGTGGCAGCCCCAGAAAACAATAACAGATATAAATACCTGGTAGACTATTTGAGAACTTCATATTATTGTGTAAGTGCATACTTGCAATCATGGTGAACAAGCTCAAGCTTATTTTGACCTCACCTCTTAGCTACTAATGAAAAGATATATAAGTGTGTGTGTGTGTGTGTGTGTGTGTGTGTGTGTGTGTGTGTGTGTGTGTGTGTGTGTATGTGTGTGTATGTGTGTATGTGTGTATGTGTGTGTTGTGTGTGTGTGTGTGTGTGTGTGTGTGTGTGTGTGTGTGTGTGTGTGTGTGTGTGTGTGTGTGTGTGTGTGTGTGTGTGTGTGTGTGTGTTTGTGTATGTTTGTGTATGTGCATGTTAGTTACCATTTTGTCCTAGGCACATGTCGATTAGACACTAGGCCTGATGTGTGTACTTAACTGTGTTTGCATGCAAATGTGCATATATGAATACATGTAGGTTTCAATAAAACAATATTTTAATTATAAAGTTTAATTGTAAAAGCATGCATGGCTGCATTTTTAATTTTCAGTACTGTATGTACAAATTACATTATATATCTATGAGTGGAAAATGTCTGTCATTAATTCTTATTAAAATTAGAAAATTTAAAAGGTTAAGAAGCACATAATTTATAAAAATTAATTATATAGTTATGATTAATTTTTGAGAGCCACACAGAATTCATAAATGCACTTGTGCTAGGAATGTGATAAAATGAGCTGGTAGTCTGGAGAGTTTTATAGAGAGTGGTGAGTTAGTTGTACTTACAGTAATGGTGCCTTTGTTGTAGTTAAGAGAAGTAGAGACCAGGGCCTCAGCTAGGCCACTAAGCATGAGCCTTACCCGGGATGTAACCATAAGACTGCTGCCATCACCATGCCGCCACAGTTATAACTAAGACTTTCATGTAAATTTGCAGTCATTCGTCAGACAGGAGATACAGGTAGTTCTCGAACAGCAAATATGTTGCATTCAGAAAAAACACTCAAAGCAAATTCTTGCAAAGTATATAATTTTTTCCTATAATTATAAAACTGAGTTAGATTATAGAAAAAATATTTTGGCCCTAATTGTAGTAAATATACATGAGATGGCTACATATTAGGACTTAGTGGAGTTTTTATGTGTTAGTGGGAAAGAGATGATCAGGCACAACACTGCATCCCTAATAACAGGGCGATTATTTGGAACTCATTTTTGATGGTGCGGAATGTAAACATGCATTTCACATGGGCAAAAATAATGCAACACTGTACCGTACTTTAAAATTTCATGTCACATGTTTCAAATTTAATGCTTGGCAGTATGTGAGTGTCTAGATTGGAGACTTGCTCGAGAGCCATAGGCCAGCTAGTTACATACTGTTAACTCTCATTAAACTGAATCCTACAATTACTTTAATATTTGTTCCCTAATGTCTAATTGCTCAATAAAGCAAATTCTTGTAAGTGAACACTTGTAAATTAGAGAACTGCCTGTACAGTTTGAAGGATACAAAAAAATACAAACAAATTAAATAACTGCTTTTCAGTACTGAATTGTTGCAAGATTTAAAAATTAATAAACTATTTTCTTACTAATTCTAGAGATTGATTAATGTCCTAGGTCCATGAGTCAGTAATAACTGTGGTGGCGGATAGGGATGTAGCCTCATTTATATGGGTCCCAGTCACACTGGGGGTAAAGCAGCACACTGGGTGGCAAAACTGATGCCAACCCCATCCATCCAGGGCGCCATCATCAGCACTACCACTAACACTGTGCTGCTCCTTACCTGCTTGTAGCAGCACTAGAGCAGAGTACAAGCCTAACTCTGTGTCTGTCAATTTAAGTTCAGCGATAGTTTTGGCAAATTCAAAGACGTTGTTAACAAGTTTCATTTCCACTGTCTCTGTGGTAAGGAAGGCCTCCATGGGAAGAAGTGTGTCACCATACACCACGCAGTTCTGATTGACATCGTAGTACCGGGTCATTCGAAGCACAGCTAACTCGAAACTCCCTGTTAAAAACAAGATATTTCGACATCTAACTTTAAACTTTTAAAACTTAGTATATGTAGTACTCTCTTAAAAATGCTTTACATAATATACTGTGTGCAAAAATGAGTGTAATGAACACTTATTAATGATAGGATAAGACCCACATGGAGACAAATGCAAAAATAATGGGAGTCTGTATATTTTGACTTGCTGAGGTCTTCTGTTATAGAGGATGTCAGCTGGAGCTTGAAATATATAGCTTCTAATTCAAGTTTTTGTCTCCATGTCATCATATACCATATCTAAGTACAGTTCATATTTTGCAATGTTTCATACCTGCTTTGAGAAGAACAATCTGATCATCTTGTGAGAATTTTCTGAAGCCTGGAACAGCCTTCGCAAATTCAATAATTTGCTGGATTATGGACGTTAGTTTCTGGGCACAATCAAACCACAGTTCCTCGTGCGCCTGCAAATGAATTATCATACTGGGAATAAGAATTGCAAAGACATTAAATATTACCAAAATAAGTCAGAATCAGAAATTATGAATTTCCTTTACAGAGAAATATGAAAGAATGTGTGTAAAGGTAGAAAGTTGAAAGTGAACATAGAAAAGAGTAAGGTGATGAGGGTATCAAATGATTTAGATAAAGAAAAATTGGATATCAAATTGGGGAGGAGGAGTATGGAAGAAGTAAATGCTTTCAGATACTTGGGAGTTGACGTGTCGGCGGATGGATTTATGAAGGATAAAAAAAAAAAAAAAAAAAATGTGTGAGTGTGGTGAAAGTGTTGAATGATGATGAAAGCATTTTCTTTTTTGGGGATTTTCTTTCTTTTTTGGGTCACCCTGCCTCGGTGGGAGACGGCCAACTTGTTGAAAAAAAAAAAAAAAAATGAAAGAATGGATTCACAAACATTTGAACAGGCAGAAGAACAATGTGTCTACTGTATGTTGTTGCTATTGCCATCATTAACAAAGAAAATTATTATTTTGTTGCAAGTGAATGTTTCAAACACCCAATCACTACCATCACTTATGTGAGTGATAAGTAAATTTATTCAGGGAGAGGTACATGTAAGTACAATTATCATACATGGTGTAAATAACCTAGGACAGCCCATAAAAGTCAGACAAAGTAACATATCGCCATTGGTCTTTCTTATCTAGTGTTATTATGATGAACACTTATACTGCAGTTTTTATCTGTCCATGTACAGTACTGTGCAATAACTCTCACTTTCTTCCTACCAGGAACTCCTATATGAGAGGTTGGAATTTTCAAACATCTTAATTTTTAAAAAAATACATAACAAAATTATTTCTGTATATATTTTTTTTGTATCTCTCTTGCTAAATATCACACCTTTTATAAAATCATAGTTCCTCACATAAATATTACTGTTAAACTCCTGAAGCTATGAATAACAGAAAAATTACATGTCCAATTATTTCAACGTTTTTAGTTACAGTATATCTCTCTAAATATTCTTCTAATCTGATCACTTTTGCCACTTTTAAGAAAGAATGAGCACATTTTGAATGAAATCCAATGGTTATTTTTCAATTCAGGGGTCATGCATTAATTAAAAAATCAATGGACACCAAGAAAAAATGTGAATAATAAAAACTATCTGCAATATCATCTTTTAAAACAGTAAAACATTGCATAACAGCAGAATCACATGGATTATGAAACATATGACTCTGCAAGACTTCCAGGCATGTGCAAAAACTGAAAACATGGAAAAGCCATAAAAGATCACCCAGGACCATAGTTTTGGGTGAAAAACTGCTCATGGACAGGGCTGCAGAGGCAGCACTGACCCCTGGAATGCCCTCCAGGTATACAGTGTAAATAGAACACCCTCAAGGTCTATGGGTGTAAATGGAGCATGCTCCATGTATAGAGATGTAAATGGAACACCCTCCAGGTATACAGGTGTAAATGGAACACCCTCCAGGTATACAGATGTGTAAATGGAACACCCTCCAGGTATACAGATGTAAATGGAACACTGTCCTTCTAGCTTCAGCTGTACTGTACTTTCATATTCAGAAGATTCATAAGAATCCACTTAAAAAAATTCTCTCAGAAACTTCATTCTTGGTGACATGCCATTAATAACTTAGCAATTAATTTTAGTTTCAAATTCAATATCCATTGCTCAATATACACCTTTTATTTTATTGTTATATTATTTCCCAAAATGGTAAACTCTTGCTGATTATAAAGGTTACAGTTCATGGAAATTTTGCAAATAGCAAAATACAATAAGAAAAGCCTTTAGGGAAGAGCAAGCACAAAGCAAGCAAGTAAACTGATTGAGAGAGCATACAAGTGTAGGCAAGGAATGAAAGAGAGGGCAAGCAGGTACAAGAGAGAGTAAGCAAGTGCAAGAGAGGGTAAGCAAGTGCAAGAGAGGGTAAGCAAGTGCAAGAGAGGGTAAGCAAGTGAAGGAGAGAGCAAACATGTGAAAGAGAGGGCAGGAATGTGAGCAAGTGATAAAAAGAGCAGGCAAGAGAAAGAGTGTAGTGAGCAAGTGACAAAAAGAGCAGGCAAGAGCAAGAGTGGGCATGCAAGTAGGAAAATCTAGAGCAAGAGAGAATAAATGAGCAAGAAAAACAGGCTGCTTGTTAGCGATCAAATGAAAGAACAAGGGTGGGACAGAGAGAACAAACGAAAGAAAGCAAGTATAATTCCTAGTGGGTGAAATATATAATAAGAGGAGGAAAGTGGAAATGTGCAAGTAAGAGAGAAAGAGAGAGTAAAGGAGTGAGTAAACAGAATACAGCATTATACATTCTGAAAAGATGTGCTTTTATTACCATACTTATGAATTTGTATTAAAAACTAACTGTTTTCTGAGAGGAACAAAGTTTATTTATTTAATAAAGCTGGTTTATTAATTTGCTTTAAGTAGCAGTACAGTGAAACCTTGGTACCCAAACAGTGCCCTACTCAAACAAAGCTCGGCACTCGACCAAACAAACACGACCTGCCAGACCTTTTCTGTAAACTAGTATTTCGTGTTTATTCGCATTTTTTGGTGTTTTTTCAATATTATTTGTATAAATAAGTCGCCATGGGGGCCTATGAAGATGAGTGATAACAGCCAACCAAAAAGAAAATTGATTGGGAACAATTCGTTCGACACTCGAATGAATTCAAGAGACAGGTATCATTAACATCAGTAAAAGAGTAAGGCATTCTTTCCCACAGAATGTCATACTAAACACACACAGCTGCTAAATGTCACCACTTATAAAAACCCTTGTAAGAATATTAGTTCAGTACATATACATGTACTTAGTACAGTATGATTAGTTATCAAAACTTTAAGGGGTGGGGGAATCCTGTCAGGGTGCTATGGGATTCTGCTGCATATTATGGGGTGGGGGCTATGAGTGTGGGGTGTGTGCTTGGATGTGGGGTTCCGAGGGTGGTTCTGTGGATGTTTGCGTACTCTGTTCCACTCAACTCTAACGCCCAATCTCTGGTCCCATTACGTGCCTGGAGTATACCTGGAGAGGGTTTCGGGAGCTCAATGCCCCCCAGCCCAATCTGTGACCAGGCCTCATGGTGGATCAGGGCCTGATCAACCAGGCTGTTACTGTTGGTTGCACATAAACCGATGTACGAACCACAGCCTGGCTGGTCAGGTACTGACTTTAGATGCCTGTCCAGCGCCTTCTTGAAGACAGCCAGAGGTCTATTGGTAATCCCCCTTACGTATGCTGGGAGGCAGCTGAACAGTCTTGGACCCCTGACACTTATTGTGTTGTCTCTTATCATGCTAGTGGCACTCCTGCTTTTCATTGGGAAGATGTTGCATCGTCTGCCAAGTTTTTTGCTTTGCCTCTGTAATCTTTTGACTACCATCCACAGAATGGGATGGGATACATTATAAAACTATTAAACTAAACTAAATTTGTCAATACATTAAAAGTACATCAGTAAAATAGCAATACTTCACTTGATTAAAGTACCATAGATAAAATATCTGCAAGAAATGCACAGCATTCTAGTAGCTTTCTTTTGTGTAACAATTTTTTTTTTTTCAACAAACCGGCCATATCCCACCACGGCAGAGTGGTGTAAAAAGAAAAAGAAAAGTTTCTCTTTTTAAATTTAGTAATGTATACAAGATAAGGGGTTATCAGCCCCCTGCTCCCTGGATTTTAGTCACCTCTTACAACATGCATGGCTTACACAGGAAGAATGCTTAACAATATTTTATTACATGTAAACTACATTTTGTATACCGCAGAAAATAAATAAAGTCGTACTATATAATGTAACTTACCATATTTTTGTAATAAGTAACTTTGGAGATGTCAAGGGATTGCTTTCTCATAACATCTGCTATATGCTCACTAGAGTACAAACACGTTCTTAAGTGAGCATCAGCCACCCATCGAGCCAGAATCTCTGCAAGTTGTGTGGGATCTGTGGAAACATTAATCATGATTAATTTTAATTACTGCAGTGAGTTTTACATACATGAAGGTTGAAAAATGTGACATTTGTGCCAAATAAATTGCCAAAAATAATTTGAAACTTGGATGAAGGTAGGAAAATCAATCATGCCACAAACCTGTTCATTAATTTATAAAGAACTGATAGCTTGAATCTGTTGCTATATTTATGTAAGTCCTCAAAAAGAGATGCCTCCTGAGGCTGTTTATATGGTCCAGTATACTGTTACAGCATACTGTAACTATATTCATCATACTGTACACACACATTCTTCAAGGTGATGCCTTGATACTGGTCAAGTGCCATCCACTCCTTCCTTAATTTAAAGTTGATTGCCTCTCATTCCCCAGGTGCTATAAAGCTCCTATAAGATTAGTGCTTCCTCATAAATATATTAACACTGGTATTGAATTGTAACATTGTGCAAAGTCTCGATTATTGGCTGTCCGGTTGAAAAAATTTCAAATGCTTTACACCCCAATTATTACTTCAATACATCATCTAAATTAACTTCAATGAAATTTTTTTTTTACAAAGTTTTGTTGCACACTATCAACTGGCATCTGCATTTCAAACTTGAATTGTCCTACAAGTGTGAACAATTACCAGTGAACTCTTGAACGGGAAATGAAATGTTAGGTAATTATTGTCATGGTGAAGTATGTGTATGACATAGATACAGTGGATACCTCTATTAATGCCTCACCCACACAGTGGACTTTATCAAGCCACTATTTTGACAAAGTCCACTATGTGGTCAAAATGTTGTCTTTAATAAACTTATCCACTCCTTCATAGATACCTAATAACTGAGAGATATAGTAACTGTTAGTATACACATGGAAAATACAGGAAGGCCTAGTCCCAAAGCTACACATTACCATAATAATGTAGTGGAGTGAGAAATATAGGAGAAAGTGTACAATAGAACCAGTGACAAGCAGAGATGTCAGAGGCAGCTCCAGGGGTTTATAGGGGTGGCAGAGGGGATGAGGCTACAAGACTTGGCTTGAAGCAGCATTATTGTTTTTTATTTGGGGGCTGATGGATTTGGGGGGGGAGGGTTCACCATTTGCTGCCCTTAGCACCATTTGAGAGGTGCCACAGGCACAATAAAAGAACACAGTATCAACATCCATGGCCCAAGACTACTACTTACTAAGAGTCTTATTAAACATTAAGAAGTACATGTACTTACAAAACAAAAATTTATTCAACAGTTGCTATAAAAGTTATTACATGTACATTAGGTTCTTCTTTCTCTCTTTGTTGGGGTTATCAGGGCCACTGACAGCATGAGCCATATTGAGCTCGACTTCAATGACACGAGGAAGATTTGTTGCCCAAGGCTGGGCAATGAGAAAAAAGGAACAAAAGTTCCTTTTGTAAATAGAGATAGAAACTTGAAGTTTCCAATTAGATTCAGTGGACGCCCTTGCCAAACCCCAGTAGAGTGAGATGCTCACACCCTACCTGAGTTCAGTAACCAGCTTCCCACCAAAGACCGTTAAAGAATTATCTGCAGAGCAGAAAAAATGGAGCTGCCTAAAAGTAAGCCGATGAATAGATGCCCCTCCTGTAGAGTGCCCAGCAGGCAAAATAGATAAGGACAAATGTCACAGAGAGAATGGGGGAAATTTGTCACTGATACTCGACAAGAGAGAGACGTCCACACCCGACAAAGGCTGGCACAGAAATCTGTACAATAGGTTAGGTTAGGTAAGGTTTGTCAGGAAACAGAACAAGTGCTTCCTGATGCAGGTCTTAGTCATATGATGACCCACAGCTGGGGTTTTTGGTCATATGACTGAGGCCTTCCACTGGCTTACCCCTGCACCTCTTTAAAAATTATGATTATGATTATAACCATTACAATACATGTACGTACAAGTGCTTTTTAACGACTTATTTCATTTATATAAAATTAATGCTTGAAAAGGTTCACAATAAATTAAAAATAATGGAGGTTTAATATACTACTTCAATTTGCAGAATTAGCCATTATGGTTCGAAGGTTATTTGATATACCCAGTATTTTTTTTATTAACACACTGGCCGTTTCCACCGAGGCAGGGTGACCCAAAAAAGAAGAAATACTTTCATTATTATTCACTCCATCACTGTCTTGCCAGATGCATGCTTACACTAGTTATAAAACTGCAACTTATCAACACCCTCTATGTTAACATTTTATCTGTATAACTGTGAAAAACCACTATAACTGTGGGTTGTAGCACTCAAAGATTGGTGCATATTAGCACATTGGATCTGTATGGCAGGTCACTAATGTTTAATATACTAAAATGTATAGATTGTACTTATACATACTTGTATGTTTTCAAGATTTTTTTCTCTCCAAGTTTTGTTGTAGACATGACAACTACGCATGTTAGGTAAGTGGACACAGATGCAACTAATGTGACATTTTACTGTAGCAACGTTTCATTCTCCAGGAGCTTTGATAAAGCTCCTGGAAAGTGAAACGTTGCCACAATAAAATGTTACATTAGTTGCATCTGTGTCCACTTACTTAACACTGTCAGTAATTCTACAATTATTACAACCATACCTGCTTTCTCTCCTCTGATGACTTTTTTTTTTTTTAATTTTAGAGAGACTGTAATACTTTAAATGTGACTCATTATCAGACTTATTGTGATAACCAATAACTCTACAACACACCATACTGTTTTTGTGTTGAAAACAAATTAACTCTAAATTATCAAAAATAATGTGTAAAAACCTCACACTTTCAAACATGTGTATTAATGAATGTAAGCAACATGCCTGACCAGGAAATTAATGAAGTCCCTTGAAAAAACATGATATGCAGTGACTGTGTGTGTGTGTCACTGTTTAACCCTTAAACTGTCCAAACGTAGATCTACGTTTTTCAACATTTGAAAGTATGTAAAAAAAGTAGATCTTTTCTTTTTTTACATTTGAAAACGTGTAAAAAAACTTTGATCTACTTTGTTTTGTTTTTTTATATTTGAAAATATGTAAAAAAAATGTAGATCTACTTTTGGAGCACTACGCATGTGAACATAGATCTGCTTGGACAGTTTAAGGGTTAAACAGCTATGTGTTTGACTCCTCTAATACATGTCTTGAACTGCACGGGTCTTTTTACACATTCAGGATTGATTCAAGAAACTGAAGCATTGGTTCAAATCATCAGATCAAGAGCCTCTCATCTACACCAAGGAACGTCCTTTGAGGGGGTCTAGAGTTCCTAGTGTAAAACGACATGAAAGGTTTTAGTAGAGCAGCCTAGACACAACCAATGAGTAGCTGCGTACCAACGTGGTGGTGGCTGTCACTGTGATTAGTTTCAACCGACAAATCTTATCTTTATTCGTGGTTGAGGGTATCTTAGGTTTGTCATCAAGTGTTGTAAGCCATTTGTTTAGTATGATGTAGGCTGACTGATATGGAAACAAATATCCACTTATTTTAGTGGTTAATATGGTAGCTTCACCTGCAGCATCGTTCCGTCGCATACCAACGTAACTTCCTATCCAGTGATGTAGTTTTGCATAATTTTTTAAGATTACGTTGTCCTGTGGTGACTGTAGAGCAGCTATGATCCCTGTGATAGACCGTGCTGTTTATTCTGTAGTAAAGTTAGTGTTTGCTGGGTTCCCACTAACATAGCTTATAACAGCTGTGGTCAGGGAGCCTCCGTCACCTGGATTCTCCATTGTAGTAGATTTCCAGCTGCTGCACGCTAATTGTCAAGGTCCACCAAGCCATCATCAGTGAAGTACACTGTACTGTCCAGGTCCACATAAGTACAATTATCATACTTAGTAACATACGTGTAAATTATCTATGGTAACCCAAAAATGTGTGACTTATTTCCACTGGGGTTCTTGATCAATTCTGCATGGTACAGTAAGGTGCCTGTTCAACAAAGATACTTGCTTACCAAGAGAAGCTATATTAAGAGTTTACAATGGTTCCAATAGGTGGTGGTGGTGGTGGGGGGTCTACTCCATCCAAAGGCATGCACCTCTTTCTAAAGTAAGGGTACAGCTACCTCTTGTACGACCAGGGTTTTCTCACCCAGGTGTTTTCACAGAGAAAACACTAAACTGAAGAGCTAGTAATATTTTTCTTTGTTATCTATTGAGGAGAATCTTGGCTACCTACAGTGTTTTATTTCAATGTCTAGTGTGCGGCAGGTTGGTTTGAGGCTGCAACATCCCGTACAACCCCAAATTTTGGGTTTACCTTCCTTGCTGGTGAGAAAGGTGCGGTGAAGCGGGCATACCGTGATCATGACTGAGTGAGCCCTGAGAAGTAAATCTTAGCACCCTTAACATTAGTACCAAACCCCCCCAAAAAAAAACGAAACTTCAAGACAAACCCCAACCCCCTTTTTCCAATTACGGCCAACTAAAACGCCCTCCTACATAAACTTAAGGGAGCCGCCCCATTCATGATGTATAACATGGTGGAAGCGCAAAAAGAGGGTCATACAGTGTCGGGAATAAGAAAAATTTGGGTTTGACCCAGGGAAGAACATTATGGCCCCTAGAACAAAGCCTTCACCCGCATAAAGGGAACTTCTCCAGGAAACACGTTAACAAGTTTTAAATTTAATTTGTTATAAAACTTTTTGACTAAGATTTTCCACCAAAAATTTTTAACTCATCTTAGTTTAAAACTGACAAAAATATGGGCCGCTTTTAATTTGACACAACTGAAACCCTTTTTTTTCTAATTTTTTTAAACATTTTTAAAAAAAAAATTTTTTTATATTTTTATTTAAAAACAATTCAGTACAGCATATAATAAATATACATATAACCAACAACATAAATTTTATTGAAACCCTACCACTACCTACTCTTGCCACTGATTACAGAACGCGGGGTACAATAACAAACACTCCCCCCCGGGAAAAAAAATACCCTTGTGTGTACCACTCGAAAAAAACCTGGGCAAAAAACGTTCTACTTTTA